CTGTATAACCCCCCTACCTTGTCACAACAGAACTGATTGGCTCAAACGCATTAAGTTAACTTTTACTACCTGCTGGTTACTGGCCCAATGCTCTTAACCGCTAGACTACCTGCTGGTTACTGGCCCAATGCTCTTAACCGCTGGACTACCTGCTGGTTACTGGCCCAATGCTCTTAACCGCTAGACTACCTGCTGGTTACTGGTTATGGTAGAGAAATTACCATTAATTTCTCTGGCAACAGCTCTGGTGGACATTCCTGCAGTCAGCATGCCAATTGCACGCTCCCTCAAAACTTGAGACATCTGTGGCATTGTGTTGTGTGACAAAACTGCACATTTTAAATTGGACTTTTAATGTCCCCAGCACAAGGTGCACCTATGTAATGATCATGCTGTTTATACAGCTTCCTGATATGCCACACCTGTCAGGATTATCTTGGCAAAGGAGAAATGCTTATTAACAGGGATGTAAACAAATTTGTGCACAACGTTTGAGAGAAATAAGCTTTTTGTGCAAATGGAACATTTCTGGGATATTTTATTTCAGCTCAAGAAACATGGGATCAACACTTTACATGTTGTGCCCCAATTTGTCTTCAGTGTAAATATGGAGCACAAAAAAGAATAATAACGTTTTTAACTTAATTTAGCCAAAGAAAATGTCTCATCAAAATCAAACAAAACCCTTTTTGCATATTCATTTTTTATTTAATAGGCCTACAATAATGAGTTTCAAGTTTAAGTTTGCATAATAATGACAATAATAATGTATAACAAAACTAATAATAAATACAAAAATAAATAAAAGTTAAAAAATTGAAGAAATATCAGTCTCACAGAAAGTGGTGCTGAACCCTTTCCTGGCCTGGGAAGACAGGACAGATGAACGAAATGATTGGGATACCAACTCTACTTTAAGTCGCTCTGGATAAGAGTGTCTGCTAAATGACTCACTACTGTAGTCTCTCTGGATAAGAGTGTCTGCTAAATGACTCACTACTGTAGTCTCTCTGGATAAGAGTGTCTGCTAAATGACTCACTACTGTAGTCTCTCTGGATAAGAGTGTCTGCTAAATGACTCACTACTGTAGTCTCTCTGGATAAGAGTGTCTGCTAAATGACTCACTACTGTAGTGGCTCTGGATAAGAGTGTCTGCTAAATGACTCACTACTGTAGTTTCTCTGGATAAGAGCGTCTGCTAAATGACTCACTACTGTAGTGGCTCTGGATAAGAGTGTCTGCTAAATGACTCACTACTGTAGTCTCTCTGGATAAGAGTGTATGCTAAATGACTCACTACTGTAGTCTCTCTGGATAAGAGTGTCTGCTAAATGACTCACTACTGTAGTTTCTCTTGATAAGAGTATCTGCTAAATGACTCACTACTGGAAGGCTCTGGATAAGAGCATCTGTTAAATGACTAAAATGTCAAATGTAAATTCTTATAGACAGTGCAGTAATACCAATGAAGAAACTCCAGCACACTGGTGATCTAGGATGCTCCACAAACTAATTAAGAGATCTCAACCCAAACTAATGTACAGATCTCAAACCAATCCAATGCCATACCAGGCGGTGATGCAACCAGTCAGGATGCTCTCGATGGTGCAGCTGTATAACTTTTTTAGGATCTGAGGACCCATGCCAAATCTTTTCAATCTTCTGAGGGGGAATAGGCTTTGCCGTGCCCTCTTCATGACTGTCTTGGTGTGTTTGGACCATGATAGTTCGTTGGTGATGTGGACAACAAGGAACTTGAAGCTCTCAACCTGTTCCACTACAGCCCTGTCGATGAGAATGGGGGCGTGCTCAGTCCTCTTTTTTTTCCCTGTAGTCCACAATCATCTCATTTTTCTTGGTCACGTTGAGGGAGAGGTTGTTATCCTGGCACCACACAGCCAGGTCTCTGACCTCCTCCCTATAGGCTGTCTCATCGTTGTCGGTGATCAGGCCTACCACTGTTGTGTCGTCGGCAAACTTAATGATGGTGTTGGAGTCGTGCCTGGCCATGCAGTCATGGGTGAACAGGGAGTACAGGAGCGGACTGAGCACACACCCCTGAGGGGTCCCCGTGTTGAGAATCAGCGTGGCAGATGTGTTGTTACCTACCCTTACTAGCTGGGGGCGGCCCGTCAGGAAGTCCAGGATCCAGTTGCAGAGGGAGGTGTTTAGTCCCAGGATCCTTAGCTTAGTGATGAGCTTTGAGGGCACTATGGTGTTGAACGCTGAGCTGTAGTCAATGAAAAGCATTCTCACATAGGTGTTCCTCTTGTCCAGGTGGGAAAGGGCAGTGTGGAGTGCAATAGAGATTGCATCCTCTGTGGATCTGTTGGGGCGGTATGCAAATTGGAGTGGGTCTAGGGTTTCTGGGATAATGGTGTTGATGTGAGCCATGACCAGCCTTTCAAAGCACTTCATGGCTACAGACGTCAGTGCTACGGGTCGGTAGTCATTTCGGCAGGTTATCTTAGTGTCCTTGGGCACAGGGACTATGGTGGTCTGCTTGAAACATGTTGGTATTACAGACTCAGTCAGGGACATGTTGAAAATGTCAGTGAAGACACTTGCCAGTTGGTCAGCACATGCTCGGAGTACACGTCCTGGTAATCCATCTGGCCCTGCGGCCTTGTGAATGTTGACCTGCTTAAAAGTCTTACTCACATTGGCTACGGAGAGCATGATCACATAGTCATCCGGAACAGCTGGTGCTGTCATGCATGCTTCAGTGTTGCTTGCCTCGAAGCGAGCATAGAAGTGGTTTAGCTCGTCTGTTAGGCTTGTGTCACTGGGCATCTCGTGGCTGTGCTTCCCTTTGTAGTCTGTAATAGTTTTCAAGCCCTGCCACATCCGACGAGCATCAGAGCTGGTGTAGTACGATTCAATCTTAGTCCTGTATTGACTCTTTGCCTGTTTGATGGTTCGTCGGAGGGCATAGCAGGATTTCATATAAGCGTCCGGGTTAGAGTCCCGCTCCTTGAAAGCGGCAGCTCTACCCTTTAGCTCAGTGCGGATGTTGCCTGTAATCCATGGCTTCTGGTTGGGGATGATGTCATCGATGCACTTATTAATGAAGCCAGTGACTGATGTGGTGTACTCCTCAATGCTATCTGAAGAATCCCGGAACATGTTCCAGTCTGTGCTAGCAAAACAGTCCTGTAGCTTAGCATCTGCGTCATCTGACCACTTTTTTATCAACCGAGTCACTGGTGTTTCCTGCTTTAGATTTTGCTTATAAGCAGGAATCAGGAGGATAGAGTTAGGGTCAGATTTGCCAAATGGAGGGCGAGGGAGAGCTTTGTATGCGTCTCTGTGTGTGGAGTAAAGGTGGTCAAGAGTTTTTTTTCCTCTGGTTGCACATTTAACATGCTGGTAGAAATTAGGTAGAACGGATTTAAGTTTCCCAAACCCATGTCTCACAGCCCTTTGTCTCCTGTTTCCAGGCCCACCACTCTCCCCCGTCTCATCGACGGCCAACCGGCTTACCCAGTGAGGCGTCTCCTGAAGGTTCGACCTCGGGGCAGGGGATTCCAGTACCTGATTGACTGGGAGGGTTATGGCCCAGAGGAGAGGTGCTGGGTCCTCGCTAGGGACATCCTGGACCCAGGCCTCTTCACTGATTTTCAATGCCGGCACCCCGGTCAACCAGGTATACGCCCAGGTAGGATGCCAGGTGGCGCCCCTAGAGGGAGGGGTACTGTCACACCCTGATCTGTTTCACCTGTCTTTATGATTGTCTCCACCCCCCCCTCCAGGTGTCACCCATTATCCCCAGTGTATTTATAACTCTGTGTTCTCTGTTCGTCTGTTGCCAGTTTGTTTTGTTTCGTCAAGCCTACCAGCGTTTTTCCCCTTGCTCCTGTCTTTCTCAAGGTCCTGTTTTGCCCTGACCCTGAGCCTGCCTGCTGTTCTGTGCCTTTTGGACTCTGATCTGGATTACTGACCTCTGCCTGCCCTTGACCTGTTTGCCTGCCCCCTGTTTTTGTAATAAAGTTGTGTTACTTCGACACTCTCTGCATCTGGGTTTTTTGTATACAATTTTTGTTACTTCGACACTGTCTGCATTTGGGTCTTCTCCTGAAAGTTGATAGCTGACAGTATGTTTGCGAGATGCCAGACCGTGACTCCTGTCGTGTCTACAGACATCCCCCAAACACAACCAGCTCTCAGAGAATGAGCGACAGCTGGTAAATAGTTGCTGAAGCATACAGTATGTCAGTCAGTCTGGTGGCTAGCTGCCGGTAGAGACTTATATTGCAGTAACATTGAAGGGCTCTGGCTAGTAAGCTAGACGTTGAAGTAAGAAGCTAACGTTAAACGAAGCCTGACCTCCGCAGGATCAAGAAATAGGCTAAGTTGTCATAGTAACATATCTTTACAGAGAGTAGGCTACTGAGAAAGACAGTGATGTGGTGAGGCTGAGGCAGTATGCAATGCATAAAGGAGGAAGCAGAGTAGACAGAGAGGAAGCAAGCAAAGAGAGAGGTTAGTACAGTGGTTTCCAAACTTGGGGTCGGGGCCCGATGTGAGGTCCGCTGAGAATCTGTACTAATCTTATCAAACAAGTTAGGAACTTAAAAGAAACAAGATACTGTTTCAATATGAACATCTTTCCTATAGGCCAACATTAAAATGCTATCAACATGCAGACAATACAGCTGTAAAGATCACTGGTGCTATGTGCCAGTGTGTGAATCAGTTCTCATATTTACCCACTTTCAGGGGTATAACATTACTATTGTATAGCTATAACAGTCTCCAATCAGTCTCCAATCAGTCTCCATGTATAGCTATAACAGTCTCCATGTATTCTCTATCAGTCTCCAATCAGTCTCCATGTAGTCTCCATGTAGTCTCTATCAGTCTCCAATCAGTCTCCATGTAGTCTCCATGTAGTCTCTATCAGTCTCCAATCAGTATCCATGTAGTCTCTCTCAGTCTCCAATCAGTCTCCATGTAGTCTCTAACAGTCTCCAATCAGTCTCCATGTAGTCTCTATCAGCCTCCAGCAGTTTCTATCAGTCTCTATCAGTCTCCAATCAGTCTCTATCAGTCTCCATGCAGTCTCCATCAGTCTCCATGCAGTCTCTATCAGTCTCCAATCAGTCTCCATGTAGTCTCCATGCAGTCTCCAATCAGTCTCTATCAGTCTCCAATCAGTGTCCATGTAGTCTCCATGCAGTCTCCATGCAGTCTCTATCAGTCTCCAATCAGTGTCCATGTAGTCTCCATGCAGTCTCCATGCAGTCTCTATCAGTCACCAATCAGTCTCCATGTAGTCTCCATGCAGTCTCCAATCAGTCTCTATCAGTCTCCATGCAGTCTCCATCAGTCTCCATGCAGTCTCTATCAGTCTCCAATCAGTCTCCATGTAGTCTCCAATCAGTCTCCATGCAGTCTCCAATCAGTCTCCATGCAGTCTCTATCAGTCTCTATCAGTCTCCATGCAGTCTCCATGCAGTCTCCATGCAGTCTCCATCAGTCTCCATCAGTCTCCATGTAGTCTCTGTGCAGTCTCCATCAGTCTCCATGCAGTCTCCATGTAGTCTCCATGCAGTCTCTATCAGTCTCCAATCAGTCTCCAATCAGTCTCCATGTAGTCTCCATGCAGTCTCAAATCAGTCTCCAATTAGTCTCCAATCAGTCTCCAATCAGTCTCCATGCAGTCTCCATGCAGTCTCTATGTAGTCTCCATGCAGTCTCCAATCAGTCTCCAATCAGTCTCCATGTAGTCTCCAATCAGTCTCCATGTAGTCTCCATGCAGTCTCTATGCAGTCTCTATCAGTCTCCAGCAGTCTCCATGTAGTCTCCATGCAGTCTCTATGTAGTCTCCATGCAGTCTCCAATCAGTCTCCATGCAGTCTCCAATCAGTCTCCATGTAGTCTCCATGCAGTCTCTATCAGTCTCCATGCAGTCTCCATGCAGTCTCTATCAGTCTCCATGCAGTCTCCAATCAGTCTCCATGCAGTCTCCATGTAGGAGTGACAGTAGGACAGGAGTGACAGGAGTGACAGGAGGACAGGAGTGACCAGAGGACAGGAGGACAGGAGTGACAGGAGGACAGGAATGACAGGAGGACAGGAGGACAGGAGGACAGAGTGACAGAAGTGACAGGAGTGACAGGAGGACAGGAGGACAGGAGTGACAGAGTACAGGAGGACAGGAGTGACAGGAGGACAGAGGACAGGAGTGACAGAGGACAGGAGTGACAGGAGGACAGGAGGACAGAGGAAGGAGTGACAGGAGGACAGGATGTGACAGGAGGACAGGAGTGACAGGAGGACAGGAGTAAGGAGACAGGAGGACAGGAGGACAGGAGTGACAGGAGGACAGGAGGACAGGAAGGACAGAGGAAGAGAGGACAGGAGTGGACAGGAGGACAGGAGTAGACAGGAGTGACAGAGGACAGGAACAGGAGGACAGGAGTGACAGGAGGACAGGGAAGGAGGACAGGAGGACAGGAGGACAGGGAGAGGACAGGAGTGACGGAGGACAGAGGACAGGAGGACAGGAGTGACAGAGGACAGGAGACAGGAGGACAGGAGGACGGAGGACGGAGGACAGGAGAGACAGGAGGACAGGAGTGACAGGAGGACAGGAGGACAGGAGGACGAGGCAGGGGACAGGAGGACAGGAGTGGGCAGCGGGACAGGAGGACAGGAGGACAGGAGACAGGAGTGACAGGAGGAACAGGAGGAAGCAGGAGTGACAGGAGGACAGGAGTGACAGAGGACAGGAGTGACAGGAGGACAGGAGTGACAGAGACAGGAGGACAGGACGGAGGACAGGAGTGACAGGACGAGGACAGGAGGACAGGAGTGACGAGGAGGACAGGAGTGACAGAAGGACAGGAGGAAGGAGGACAGGAGTGACAGGAGGACAGGAGTGACAGGAGGACAGGAGTGACAGGAGGACAGGAGTGACAGAAGGACGGGAGTGACAGGACAGGAGTGACAGAAGGACAGGAGGACAGGAGTGACAGGAGGACAGGAGGACAGGAGGACAGGAAGACAGGAGTGACAGGAGGACAGGAGTGACAGGAGGACAGGAGGACAGGAGGACAGGAGTGACAGGAGGACAGGAGTGACAGGAGGACAGGAGGACAGGAGGACAGGAGGACAGGAGTGACAGGAGGACAGGAGTGACAGGAGGACAGGAGTGACAGAAGGACAGGAGTAACAGGAGGACAGGAGGACAGGAGTGACAGTTGGACAGGAGTGACAGGAGGACAGGAGGACAGGAGGACAGGAGGACAGGAGGACAGGAGTGACAGAAGGACAGGAGTGACAGGAGGACAGGAGTGACAGTAGGACAGGAGGACAGGAGGAAAGGAGGACAGATGCAGAACGTCAGAAACAATAGTAGAGGAGAAGAGTGAGGAGAGACATTGAAGACAGTCTGTAAGAAATATAAAGAGAGAGAGCGAGAGAACGAAGGAGTGAGACTCAAACTGACAATCAGAAAAGATGAAAAAGAGATGATGAATTCATATTCCTGTGAGGGGCTGGGTGAATGTTCCCCTTATGTACCAATTGCAGCTCTGGTACCATCAAAGGTGTGTGTGTGTGTGTGTGATGTTCCTGTAATATTAAACAGTATTTTATCCCGAGTCCCATAAATGTCCCCCTGCTCTCTCAGCTGTCACCAGTGCATTAGAGGCCAGGAGATTGCCTTGACACATGATGGAGGGGGGGGGGGGGGGGGGGAAACAATTTGACATATTGATGAAGGGATGAATGGATGGAGGGGGGCATGGAGTACCCCTCTGCTGTTCATTCGATTGTATGTTCTGGTTCTTTGACCATGCATACATGCACGCACACACGGCACACGCACACAGTTGTAAACTTCAGGTAGGCAGTTTGTAGAGCATGGCGCTTGCAACGCCAGGATAGCGGGTTCGATTCCCGGGACCACCCATATGTTGTGACGTGACTTACGTAAAATGTAATCACACTTGACTGTAAGTCGCTTTGGATAAAAGCGTCTGCTAAATTGCATATATTACATGGGCACACACATGCGCACTCACACACACACACACACACACACACACACACATCGCCATCAGGGGTAGAAACGACAGTAATTACTGAGTGCTGATAGAAAGGTTTCTCATTAAAAACGAACAATGTGATGATAGATAATTCCATACACGCCTGAGTGTGTGTCTGGCCTGTCTGCATTTACCCCACACAGCAGCCCTGCTGCAGACACTTGTGGAGATGGAGGAAAAAGCAAGGAAATATCCCAGATTCTGCCTTTAAATATAAATATCCCAGAATCTGCCTTTAAATATAAATATCCCAGATTCTGCCTTTAAATATAAATATCCCAGATTCTGCCTTTAAATATAAATATCCCAGATTCTGCCTTTAAATATAAATATCCCAGATTCTGCCTTTAAATATAAATATCCCAGATTGTGTCCTATGCAATGTCTGCCAGGTTGGGGGTTAAATCCACAATCCACTATCCTGACTGTCTTTCAGGCCTAACGACAGCCCCTTCACATCCACTTGCACAGGAAAAACAGGGAATATCCCTTGTTGTGCTTTTAATTAAACAAACAGGAGACCTGTTTCTTGCAACAAACTTTTGTGAACTGTACCAGGTGACTTGACATCCGAAAGAGACAACAGCATCCTTTCAACCTCTTCCCCTTTCTACTTGGTGAAATTCTAACATGCATTGCCTCTCCTTCATGATACAGTCTTTTATAAGGGTATATGACATGGAGCCATCAGTAGTTGTAGCGATGTGGTGTGGTATTGTAATAAATATACCCTCTGATTCAACAAAAGAGGCGGTCATGTTCCAATTCCTACCCATAATAGTGTTCAACGTTCTCCACAGTTTTTTCCCCATCAGCCTTTACTTCATCCATTTTATGCTGATAGAATCCGTTCTTCTTTCCTTTGTTTAGCTTGCTCACAAGATTTCTTAGTTTACAATAACTTTGCTTATCAAACAGAGTGCCAGATTTATCTGCTGCCTTTTTGGCATCTTCACGTTGAATCAGGCTAACTTGGTTATAAAGGCCATCCATCAATGCCAGCACTGACAAGGACCCGGTTTCTCAAAAGCATCTTAAGGTTAAGTTCATCGTTAGAACCTTCTTCAGAGCATTGTTAAATCTTTGAGCTGTTTCACAAAATCACTGTTGGTAAAGTTGCACTTGAATACTCTGGTTATTTACCGCCTCAGACCACTCCCCTGTAACTATTCGACAGGTTGTTTCTGTAAATTAAAACGTGTTCTAGGTCAACTTACCTGGTAAAATAAGGGTTAAATACAACATTTTAAAAAAGAACAGCTAAGTGCGTCGTTTGCCCACTTTATAGACAGAAGACCTCCGTTAAACATATAATCAAGCTGTTTATCTGCCTCTCTGTGAATGCCGATAACTTGGGAACAAAGTTGTTTACAAATACAAACTTGCCAATGTCTTTGCAATTGAACAAGCGAAGGATGAATATAAAATTATGAAAGATTGCTTGTGTAACTGAGCTGAGAGCATCTTTATTTTCTGAAGCAGAAGTCTCACAGGGGGGGGGGGGGGGGGGGGGGGGGGGGGGGGAGAATGAGTGATAACAGCAACACACAAGCCGGGAACCGAGAGTTGAGTGCAGCAAGTTAGCTTCACGGCTACGTCTGCTTTGTTTATCTTTAGCGGCTGGAAGTTACTTCCTACTTCCTCTCTCTGTCTCAACGTCACTTGAGTGGTCCGGATTTAGCACAAAGCCAAGCCCCTTGTTTACATACTACCCATACTTCTGCTGTGGTGCCTTCTGCTGTGGTGGCTTCTGCTGTGGTGACTTCTGCTGTGGTGCCTTCTGCTGTGGTGGCTTCTGCTGTGGTGACTTCTGCTGTGGTGACTTCTACTGTGGTGACTTCTGCTGTGGTGCCTTCTGCTGTGGTGCCTTCTACTGTGGTGCCTTCTGCTGTGGTGCCTTCTGCTGTGGTGCCTTCTGCTGTGGTGGCTTCTGCTGTGGTGCCTTCTGCTGTGGTGGCTTCTGCTGTGGTGACTTCTACTGTGGTGCCTTCTGCTGTGGTGCCTTCTGCTGTGGTGGCTTCTGCTGTGGTGGTTTCTGCTGTGAATACTGTATGTTTCACACAGGAGAGCTACAGATATGCACACAATTGCTGTAATAGATAGACTCCTTCTGCAGACAAGCCAATACGTTTTTCTCAATCCAGGAGAGTTTATTGTATTTACATGCATGATCACTATGAATTACAAAAACTTTTTTTCACAAACTAGACCTAATAAAACTTTATTCGATTTTATTAAGCATGATTCAAGATGCCGATAAGGAATAATTAACAAGAAAGTAAGTACAACACAACTCTGCCTGAGAAGGAAGGGGGGAATCTAAAAGGGAATCAAGAATAACTTTTATTAAAGGGGCAGTGCAGTCAAAAGTGTGATATTCCTGTGTTTTATATATATTTCCACAGTATGAGGTTGGAATAATGCTGGGAAATTGTGAAAACTATGATAATACACTTTTAATGTAAAAGATGTTTGAAAAGACCCCCTGTAAATGCAGCATGTTTGGCTGGGTGGGGTTTTTGATGTCACCAGGAAGTATAAGTTAATAGACCAATAACAAAGAGAGTTTGCCCTCCTCTCTGCCAATAACAGTTCCCATTAGGCTTCTCCAATTAGGCCCCTCTCTCAGACAGTACTAGCAAAATTCATGCTTGAGAAATTGCATTTTGCTAAGAAGCTTTTTTTTTATTTATTTTTTATAATCACAGTAAGGTACTTAATTGTTACCCAGAAATTATTTGATATTGAGATAAAAATAAAAAAATAAACGGCTGGGTTGGACCTTTATATACAATAAAACGGGTTTCAAGGGGAAAATATTTAGAGTTGACAAGCCGAAAGAGACAGGAAATTGAAATGAGCCTTTAATTTACTGTGGCCGCCCCTAGTTACGAAATATGATGTAATAACACTGAGAACCACTGTGGTTTCCACTGGCTTTCCATCATCACATCTTCTGCCCAATTTTGTTCAAAACTCCATTAGATGTTATTCTCCCTGATTTTACACCCTGATCAGACATTGTGCCAAATTATTAAGGATGTTGATTCGATTTCATCTGATCTGGACATTACAGAGAAACCAGACCCGAAATGAATTAGAGTGTTTTGAAAAAGGTGCCATGGCAACCACACTGATACTGAGATACTGCTGAGTGTGAGCGCATGTGTGTGTAGTGTGTGTGTGTGTAGTGTGTGTGTGTGTGTGTGTGTGTGTGTGTGTGTGTGTGTGTGTGCGTGAGTGTGAGCGCATGTGTGTGTAGTGTGTGTGTGTGTGTGTGTGTGTGTCAATGACAGTGTTGTGTCAGTGTGAAGCTAATGGCTGTGTATGGAGGGCTGGTATGATAGGTATGGATAGGATCAAGTAATCTTTCTACCCCACCTTACCCCAACCCCCCCCCAAAAAAAAAAAAAAAAAAAACATATTGTAAAGTGGTTGTCCCACTGGCTATAAGGTGAATGCACCAATTTGTAAGTCGCTCTGGATAAGAGTGTCTGCTAAATGACGTAAATGTAAATGTAAATGTATGATAAGTGTAGTAATTGGACTAACTGATGCAACCAAACATCCTCTAAAAGCAATAACGTTTCTTAGTCAGGATGCTAGCTTAACGAAAACACAT